AATCCACTCCGCACTCGCGCGCCCCGCCCGTCCCTTCAGCCGCGCGTCCTCTTCCCCCAAGAGCAGCCCTCGCCTCCTGCGTGCGCCTTTGCGGCGGCGGGGCGCGCGAGTGCGGAGTGGATTGGGGAGGGGGAGGCGCCGGAGCCGATTCTAGCGGAGGAGCCGAGTTGTGAGAGCCCCGAGGAGTTTGAGGAGGCCACGTCGAGCGAGACGGTGCTGTATGCGGGGCCGGTCCGGGATGTAGAGTTTATACCGCCGTCTGTGGAGAAGGCGTTGGTGGACGAGAAGATGGATTTGGGAGATGTGGTGACGGAGCTGGAGGCGCCCGTCGAAAGGAAGTGGGTCAGGCGTGTGTCCGGTGGTCGAGAGATGATGCCGGATTGTAGCAGGCTCTCAGGCGACAGCGGCATGCTCTCCTCAGGGTCGGAGGTCGACGTTCGGAGCGAATACAACGGGGTGGACGACGACACGCGGTCCTATGCAGGTCCGTTCTCGCTGCGGCAAAAAGGGGCATCGAAGAAGATGAAGGGGAGAACGCCATCGGTGAAAAGCTCGAGGAGCGGGGTCACGTTGTCGAAGAGGCGCATCAAAGATTTCATTGGGCACATGTTTGATTTGTTCTAGTGGGCCGATTGAGGGTTGACATTTTTGATATGATCTCTTTAGTATCGCTGTTGTTGTGTATGTATGTGTATGTACGTATTTTAGCGTCGCCCATATGTAGTCAGAGCGGCGTCTGTAGCCTTGTAACTGAAACAGAAAAACAATTTTACACATCGGTGTACCCTCGATAAACACTTACATATGATTTTGTTACTTATCCTTCGCTACTGAATTCCCTTCACCTCCCGCCCACTCGAGACAATAAGCAGCATGTCCTCGACCCATGGCTCGCTGCCTGTGTAAACGTTTAAGGCGAAGTCTTCATTTCTCCCGACGTGGTATAACGAAACAAAGGCCGTCCTAATTTGAGCCCGGCATCGAAGGCCGGTTTTTGCGTAATGGATATATAGCTCGTTCAAGGAGCACATGCCCTGCAAGAACACCCCCAGAAGTGCGGCGAGGGACTCTACCGGGTTTAAAACCCTATATACAGAGAGCTGCAGAATATGAAGATTTTTCAAGGTTGCCAGGGGCGACAGCACCTCGTGGAGAGGGACTTCGTCTCGTCCTCCTGATTCTCGCCCAACAAAATCGAACTTCAACGAGCGGAGACCCTGAAGCCTGGCGATAGCGCTGGCATCTGTTGCTACCATTGGAGCGGCCGTTTTCAGAACCAGTTTCTTCAACGTGTTCGTCACGATGTTGAGGATGTCAGGCAGACGGGGTTCAACACCTTGCACGTCAACTTCGAGGCACGACAGGCCCGTCAGATTCCAGGAGGCGGGCTCCGTCGCCCACACACGCGAGCCCCTCCCGTGTATGACCAAACTCTGCAGGCTGCCCCCGTGCGTGGGCGCGTACTTGGCTACGAACGCAGCGCTCGCCTGGAGTCGCTCCACCCCATGTTGGAGGCTCGCAGCCATCTTGTGGTCATCCAAAGAGCTCGTGAGGGTCACGCTCGTCACGGTGCGGAACGACAGGAGCGCCGCCATATCCCTCCGGAGCAACGTCCCGTCCACCGCAATGGCTTTTGGTCCCTCGCCCCTTCTCAATCTTTCCAAGATAGCGTTCACCCACGCCTGCGTGGTGACGGGTACGGTTATCCGGTCATCGCCCCCGAGGCGCAACGTGTTTGTGAAGAACGCCACGGCGTCGAGCCGGCCGAGCCTGGGCAGGAAGACCTCGACGGTCATGGTCGGCCGTTCGCACACGGACAGGATGCGGACGGAGCGCAGATAAATATTTTGGCGCCATGCAGCAGTCCAGGGCGCGGGGTTAGAGTCGTCGTAGAGGCGGTCGAGCTCTGGCCAGGCGTCGAAGTGGGACCAGAGGATGGGGGCGGAGGCGAGGAATAAAAATTTCGAGACCACCAGGCAGGTCGCGAGGCTGTCGCGGTTGAGCGCGTGGAGTAGGTCGAGGAGGACGTCGTCATTCAGCGAATGCATGATCAGGAAATTGACCGCCAGGACCTTGAAGAATGTCTTCCTGTGGGTTAACAGAGAATTGTTACTTTTTGCAAAGGCTGCCCATACACTTAAGTTGACCGAAGGTGTAATGCCGACCCTATTCGTAGCTTAGAAAAATCTACGAAGTAAGCAATAACAAAATTTGGGTGCTTACCAGAAACGCGGGAATGCAGGGACTTTTTTTATCTGCATCCCTCCCATCGCCGCGTCGATCCTTAGGCAGGCAGCGCCGTGCTACCGACTCGCAACAGACAATTGCATGAACAAATTTTCAACGGCAGCGCACAAGCCCGGCTAGCTCAATCGGTAGAGCGCGAGACTCTTATCCTTGCGGGCAGATATCTCGAGGTTGAGGGTTCGACCCCCTCGTTGGGCGATAGCTCAGGAGCGACTGCTTACGGAGTACCGCATTATATGTCGGAGGCGTCCTTCCAAATTTCTATTTTATCCCAGTACCCATTTTTTTTTGATATTGGCGTAGAACCTCGACCCCAATGACTTGCACCCTGCTCTTTGGTCCACTTTAGAGAAGGTCACAATCAGGAAGTTTGTGGCCGGGATGGACGGAGGTCTTGACACGCCTGTGAATGACCGGGGGCAGGAAGTTCTCCGCTGCTGGACCGGCACAACTGATCTGTTGGATGGGGCTCTGGTAAAGGTGTGAAAATGTTGACTTTGGATGAGGCGACCGCGTCGGTAGATATGGAGTTGGGTAATGTTATCAAAGTCATCACTGCCTGCGTTGGAGGTGCACGGTGATTACGATCGCACATCGTGAGTGTTATCGAGATATTTTCATTTTTATTCGTAGTTAACCGTTTCTTCTTCCCGGCTTGACAGGCATCAATACGGTGATTAACTAGGACAAGTTTTTAGTGTTAGAGAAGAGTATGGGTCGCCGAAAGAGTTTCTTCTTGCCGAACGAAGGTCGATATTTTCCCAGCTTGCTTTAGATCATTAGATACAAAACCTGCTGACGATTTCTTTGCTGCGCTATTCATAATGAGCTGAAGATGAATCATTTTTGAAAAAGCTGTTTCAATCCCCACTACCATTTTGCATTAAGATCGCGGTGACTAATGAGATAACGTGGTGTGAGTATTCATCCACAAAATGCGAAGAGGCAAGCCCGATTGGCGACTTCAAGGTTAACCCGTGGGAACCTCGAGCAGCGGCCACAAGGGAGCGAAGGTAGTTGTATGACAACAAGCTACGAGCTCATCGAGTGCCTGCAACTGGATAGCGGCAACCTGGCTCCAAGGCGCGAGAAGCGGTAAAGCAGATCCCTTGGAAATGCAACACAAGCCATGCGCGTCAGATTTACGAGTGCGAGAATTTATCACCACCCGACGCGCACGAGGCACCCGCGCGGCGATGACCCTCGTGAAGGAATGGATCCTGCGGTCGATGAAAGGCAGGAGGTGCGCACCTCGCGTCGTGTTTGTCTCGAGCGGGTGTAGCTGACTTGCTCTTAGCCTGCCGTACAGCGACGTGAAGGTGGTCGATGAGCCACATCAGAGGATTAACGACTCGGCCGAGGACCACCTCGCCGCGCTTGCGCACGGTCCTGGGCCGCACGGCGCCCCCTTCGTCCCGGTCAAGAAGGTCATTTACCCTCGGGTCCGGCAGGCGCGTCGGCGAGTGCAGGGGATTGAGTCGAGCCTCGAGGATGAGATGGTACTGTAAAGCTTCCGGGAGCCCTCTCCTCCCGCTAACGTTGTCCTTCTCACCTCTGCGCACAGCTGAAGAAGTTTGAGGGCCTATCCCCCGACCAGCGCGACGCGATCCTGAACCTCATCACGCGGAACTCTCGCGTCCGCGCCCTGATTAACACGGGCGACCCCAACAACGCTAGCAACCCGGACGTAAATGCGGCCGCCGCGCGCCAGGGTGCCGGCTTCCCGCCGACCGCGTACGTGAGCCCGGACCAGGATGGGAACCTCGAGGCCATTTCCGAGGCGGGCGACTCCACCGTCCACAACGTGCGGGCTTCGGTTGAGGCAGTACCCTCGACCGTGCTTAGGGCCGCCGTCTCGCACGCTGTGAACGCAGCCATCGACCCGCGGGGGTTCACTGTCGGCCCCGGCGGCGGTGGAGGCCACGGCTTTGGGGTGCCGCTGGATGACTTCCCGATTCATGACTACGTGCTTCAGTCCACCAGGGACAAAGATGAGGAGGAGGCAGAGCGGAAGCGGCTTGCGGCGCGTAGTGGGAGGAGGCGGGAGCTTGGGCTCGGCGGTGGCGTCGACGCGGCCGGGATCTCTCCCAGCACGGCGGACCTGACGGTTGGTGGTGCGAGGGATAGGGGCGCGTCTTCCGTCGGGGCGACGACGGCCAACGGGAGGCTTTCTAGTAACGTTGCGAACGGGAGGAGGGCAAGGAGGGAAAGCGAGCTTGTGGAGGCGAGCCAGGAGATGTTTCAAGGGCTGACCCCGAGGGAGAAGTACTCGGCGTTCATGACGGAGAAAAACAAGACGAGGATGGACAAGGAGGATGTGGAAAATATGGAGGAGATCACAAGCTTGCAGGAGATGAAGCAAGGTACGCCATCGCGTCGTAGCAATGCATATGGAACGCTAATATGTTGCGCGGCAGTTATGTTCTCGCTGCATCGGTGGGTGACGGACGTCCTTGACAGCCCCGTCGTCCTCCACGACCCAATTGCCGACAATGAGACCGCACAGGGTGGCAGTGGGAACTCTAATCTGATTGAGTTCGAGCGGCCCCACACGGCCGCAAACATGCTTAGCTCCTCCCCGGCGGCTGGCGCGAGCGCTGCGAACGGAAACTCGCCAAGCAACGCGAGCCCCGGCGGCTCGCTGATCCCGCCGTCGCTCGCGGGTGGCAACGCGTCGGGCAACGCACCGTCGGGTGGTAACGGCGGTGCCGGGCAGCCGGGCACGAACGCAGACGGGACGATCGCGGGTGGGGACTTCGACATCCTCTTGAACGCGTGGAAGCCGTCGATACTTGAGACGAAGCCGCCTATCCGGCTTAACGTCATTGAGGAGAGGAACCCGCCCGAGTCGCTCATTCAGAGTCTTCGGGAGAATCTCAGCAATGAGATCGGTGCTTCCTTCCTCGAGCACGCTAGCAAAAGGGCAGGGAGGAAAGGTGAGCAAAGCGTATTTGGCGGCACAACCTGTTTTAATTGAAGCACAATTTAAGCCGCGGCGGATAAAAATAAGGAAAAGCACCGCAAGGCAAAGGTGAGACTTTCCTTGTTGAATTGATCTAATTTTTTTAATTAGTACGGTTCTTGGTACGTCAAGCCTACGCTATGGCAGGAGTTCATGCAGAAAGACGCCGAGCGTGGGGAGGACAAGGTCTGCCTACATTTCGTTGCTGAATAGTACTGACTGGTATCCTCCAGACCGCCAAGACCCACCGCTTCGGGGGTCTCGTCCAAAAGAAACTGGATGAGATTATGGCTCAGCGAGCGAAAGAAGACGCCCTCCTCCAACAAGCCGCCAACCAACTCGCCTCCCAGCCGCCGCCCGTCCCACCTACCATCCCATCAACGGCTGTAGGCGCCACTCCGCTCGTCGCGGGATCCAACGCGAACCCGCCGACTCCGATTGCTGCGAACGCGGTCGGGAGTGCTATCGACGCGCCAACGTTGGAGGTGGTTGTGCAAGGGACCGAGATATCGGACGAGGTACAAGTCGATCAAGCATTGACGCGGGAATCGCGACCGCAAAGGGAGAACGAGGAGGGTGATGAGTTTAAGATGGTGGTGACACTAACGGAATAAGTACCCTGTAATCATATGTTCAACACCATTTGTTTTGAATAGTGCGCGTCAAATATCTGCGAAGTCCATTTCCCAATGTGTGAGCATCCCGCTTCCTCTGCGACCACGTACTGATCGCTCGACCTCGCAGCGCTCAGCCAGGACGACTTCCGGAAGCTGCTCGCAACGCCGCGGGCGGTGGCCGCGAAGCAGCCAAAGGAGAAGAAGCCGAAGCCGCCGCAGACTCCAAAGCCCAACGCGGCAGGCGAGGGAAAGAAAGATGACTTTGAGTTCGCCAAACCCGAGGTCCCAAAGAAGAAAAAAGAGTGAGCTGTTGTTGGAGCTGTCGGCCTTGTTCTGATTGCTTTTAGATGGAAGAAACCCGCGGCAAAGGAGGACACCGGCCCCGTGTTCCGAGACCGGGCGAAGGAGCGGCGGGAGGGCGTGAACCCGGATTACGCGGACACGGAACAGATATTGGCCATGCTGTCTAAAGAGTACGTGATCCCTTCTTTCAGCGTACTCACTGGTTGTGGAAGGCGTGAGGAAGCCGAGAAGGGCGAAGGCGAGAAAAACGACAAGTCCGCGGCCAATCTTGAGTACGACAAGAGCAAGTACCTGGGCGGCGTGGTGACTCATACACATCTGGTGAAGGGTCTAGACTTTGCTTTGTTGAACAAGGTGCGGGAAGAGATTGACGCGGAGGATGAGGTCGCACGGAGGTAAGGAGTGTCCGTGCGCTTGAAAATTGACGCATCATGTTCAAATTAGCGAGAGAGAGGCAAGAGAGTATTTGGAATCGCTTCATGGGGAGGAGGGGAGGCCGACGATGGTATCGAAGCTGGCGGAGTCGGTGTACCGACTTGCCATCGAGAAGCCGCAGCATCCGAAGCACAACGATTTCTTCAGGGAAGGGCGATCGGCCTTTGTGTTCGACTTAGGAAGGGATTCCGACGACGTGCCGACGATGTTGATTCGGAGTAGATCCGAAATGAAAGACGACGTAGGCGTCTCTTTGCTTTGCGTCGACTGTTCGGTGAACACGTTAGCTAATTGTAAGCTAGAAATCTGCGCAAAAGGTGGACGTCGTGATGGAGAAAATTGCGGATATCTTTGAGCATCGGAGAACGCTCGGCAGCACGAACGCCGAGAAGAAGAAGAAGAAAAAGGAGAACGATAAAGCGGCTTTGGAGGAGAAGAAGAAAGCAGAGGTTGCGAAAACCTCTGCACCGTCGTCAGATCCGATGCAGGACGATGAAGAGTAAGAGCAAACTCTTCGGGAGAGCTTACGGTCTAACGTAAACAGTATTTTCGCTGACGCTGGAAGGGATTACGTCCTCGAGGTGAAGGATAAAGCGACGGGGGAAGTTAAGAAGATCATCCCCGACACCGCTCCTCGGCCATCTTACTTCGACAACGGCGACGACGACGACGATGACGACGATGTCGACATGCTAATTCGGGGCAAAGCGGTGGATGACTTTGAAGACGACGGCTCTACGAATCCAAAGGGCGGCGGCCTTGATTCCCTTCTTAAGGAAACGGCCGGGATGCTCAACTCGTTCTACGGCCCGGGCACGTCCGAGAAGCTTGCGGCGTCCATATCGACCGACCTCGGAGACTCGGACAACATGCAGCCAATG